CTTTGGCTAGACATGCTATGCTTGTTCACGGGGGATAAAATCTTGTGGCTCGTTTCAATGCTTCATCTTCAATATGATCCTGGTAACCCTCATAGATGGAGTAATCTTTGAACACACGAGTTACGGGCTTCCATGGACTAGTAAATGGCGCTAAACAAGTCAACAATGATCTGCATTCTCCACTCACTCCTCCACCACACGCATTCATCGGTTCAAGATATTTTTCCATTGCCACTCTTAACTTATTCCTGTCATGAAATTTCAAATTTTCTGGTATAATAAAATCAATTTCAGTAACAGGAATTGAAGAAGAGGAATTAGGAAAATATTGATTAAGGAGTGGAGAAGATGTCACCGCATTTGGAAATTGTTCACTGGATTCATTCACTTGAATACTTTGATGTTGGAGTCTCATGTCTTCCGCTTCAACTTCCTTTTCAACTGTATCTTTGGATCCTCCTTCTTGAGACTCTTGCAGTTCCATATCACTTGTCAGGATAATTGCACTCTCACCTTTCTTAGAGTCATTGATGGTCTGTGAGGGCAAGTCTGACATGAATAACGATTGTTGAGACTCTTGCAGCTGAAAACTCATTGACCCCTCTTCATAATTAACGTTAGAGTTATCCCACCATCCTTGATCATACCGGTTTGAATAAGGGTCATACCACGTTTGAGATCGAGGTGAAGAATCTCCAAATTTTTTTTTTGAGATAGTCACTCAGGTAGTCTTGATATTCGGGGCACATACCGGTTGAATGATCCCTGGCATAACAAATTTCACAGGTTGCAGCAGCCATTCTTTCTCTAACAGAGTTTAGTGCCTCTGCATATGCAGACCTCACAAAAAAACTAGCCTCATTGCCTTCCCCGGAAATAAAATCCAGTATATCACCAAAATACGGAGTGTAAGAAGCCATAAACTAAATAAAAAAATGTAAACAAGATGAATTGAAAAAGAAACAAATAACTAGCGCCAGTCCCCGGCAACGGCGCCAAGAATTGACAGGTTGTCGAAACATGTGCAATAATAAATACCTGCTCAAACTAAAAGTAGTTTCTGTAGATAGTGGTGAGCAGGGTCGAATCCACAAGGACTGGAGTAATTATTTCTTTTCAAGCTCACAGTGACAAGGGGGTGTTTTATATCAGGAGTGACAATTTAAACAAATCAACTAAAAGTAAAATAATAAAAATAAAATAGCCAACTAGAAATTAAATAACAAATTACTAAAATCAAATGAGTGATAATTAAGGATCTAGCCAAGGAATAACTTCAGCAAAGGTGCACCTAATTGATCATCGATAAGCAAAGGCAATTCCAATTATTTACTAATAAATAGGTTATAACTGCCAAACAAGCGATGACAGTCAACCCCTCCTTACTGTGTCGGTGATCAAGGTACGCCCGTTAATCACTGCTCTAATTGAGAAATAATCCTAGGTACGCCCGTAGAATTTAATTCCTCAATTGCCTTACGTATTAGAGGAGCCCTATTCTAACCAAATAACGCACTACCAGGGTTATTTTAGATTAGCCCGCGTATTCTCCTGACACAAACCCAATCATGCCAGTTATCACTATTTTGAGACAATTAAACAATTACGGATTTAACACCTCAATTGACAATAGATTATTAAATTAACTAATTATCCGGATCCAAGACAATCAATTAATTAAACAACCATAAGCACTGCAATCAGGGAATATGCAAATATCAATAAATAAGAGAAAAAGATAAAATTAAATCGATCTCACAAGTTTAGATGACCCAAAGCATCCGTTGTCCCTTGACTAGAGTGAGGGATTTAGTTCATATTTGATGAACTAAATCCACAAGGAATAAAAGCAAAATCTACGGCCATCGTTCTTGCTCGCGCTAATTCAACTCGGCCGAAGGAATAAGAAAAAGCTACTATAAAGCTAACAAGAAAAGTCAACAAAAGCCACATTGGCTGCTGAAATCCGTGAGGCAACTACTACTAAGAAGCCCAAGAAAAGTCAAAGGAAACAATTCCTTGATATTCCTGCCATGTGCAGGAGCTCCTTGGTCAAAAGTCCAAAAGGAAAAGCAAATCTCATGCTAAGCTTCAGCTCCCTCCTGTGCGGCGGCCTCCTTCCGGAGAGGAAGAAGAAGACCCCTGCCTTCAGCCCTTCGTTGCTCCTTTTAATGCTTTTGTTTTCGGCAATTACTAAAATGGGCATAAGCTTGCCTTTGCCAACAATGCCCCTGGGGTGAGCTCTGTGCCTTAGACTCCTTTTTTGTCAAATTAGCACTTGTTATCATATTTTCGTTCTACTCCCTGGAATATATGCAAAACACTAAAAATGAGTAGAATCCAGCAATTAATCCACATCGGGTCAGGTAATAGGGAAAATTAATAATAAAATAAATGATAAAATTACACCCTATCAACATGGCTGCACTGGAGAAAAATCAGGAGCTTCTCCATTATGCTTCTTTAAATCCTAGCCCTCTTGATTCAAGCTAGCTTTTCAGCATGTTTTGTCTGGCTATGTTTCAAATCCTACAAAGCAATTGTGAAGGTTGGATTGTTATCAAAAGAAAGTTGTAGGAACAGAAAACCATGAATTTGTGTATTATTCCCCATTAGTTTTTTGACTTGCTTTTGAAAAGAAAAAAATAACACCTGATATGATTGGGAGTTTGGCAGACCCTGTTTGTGTATAAACAAAGAAAAACTTTGGGGAACTTAAGGCCTTAGTTCTGAATTATGTGCCATTAGTGTAGTGGCAGATGGTTTTCTTAAAGAGAGTGGCTCAAGTCATGTGGTTCCTGACCCAAAAACAATAACAAATCTACCGTTGTACCTTTATTTCTTGCTATGGAGCACGTCCATGACCCCATGATCATGATTTTTCTGGGGCTGAAAGTGGGGTAAATTTAACGCCATACGAGTCTGCGGTAGTTCCTAGAGATAATTTCAAAAACTTCTCTTGAAGTTTATCACTTAGCACTCTTAGATCGTGTTTGTATTGTAACTTTTTGAAATTTTTGTAAAAAATATACTGTAACAATTTAATATATATAAGATAAAAAGATGTTTGAAAAATGTGTTCATTTAAACGTAAAAATATTTGTGAAAAATTCCTTTTCAAACAAGGCCTTAAAATTGCTATTCTTTGACTAATTAATGACATGACAAAATGTTCAACCACTTTCATTTCTTTATTCTTTAAGTGCGTGAGAAGAAAGCATTGCCTCTATATTAATGCCTTAATTAATCAAGCGATTTCCACACGAATAATTGACTAAAAAATTGGTCTGAAGATGTCATTAGCCATTTTCACTTCATTATTTCATTTTTTAATTACTGTTTATTCGATGGAATCAAGAAGATGCTTTCTGGTGTAAATAATAACAAATTCAAAAATAAAGAGACGCAAAATATGCAATTTGGAGGAAGTTGTTGCGGGGCGTCCAATCTGTCCACTCGCATTGGTAGATGGACACTTTATTATTCTTTGTTCTTGGCCTCTATAGCGGTTTTCACATTTGCCACCGATCCAGAATAAGTCCCTACTTTTTCTCTCTTTTTTTTTTTTTTTTGGTTTTTGGCCTTGAAAAAAATGAGCAATCAGACAACCACTTTCATTTCTTTATTTTTAAATTGCACGAGAAGATGCCTCAAGCAAAGGTGAAGGAGAGTGAAGGAGAGCACTTTTCTACTGTTAATAATTTTATTCCTAGAGAGCATAAAAAACAAGTACTGCCTACCACTAGTCACTGACTCACTGCTACTTGAGGACTTGGGAGGCGGAGTTGGGAAGTTTAGCGGGGCTGACATGGAAGTGATGGAAACTTGAAGCTTGGAGTGCAAAAGAAAGAAAAAAAAATTTCTTATTAGTTTGGTGGGAGTATAAAAGAGTTAGTGGGAAATCATATTTTACCGAATTGAAATTTTCTCGATCTTTTCTTCTTCCATTTCTCCTAGCAAAAACCCTTGCTTTGTTCGTTCTTTTCATTCTCTCACAAACGATCACACTTGGGAAATCAAGCTCAAGTAAGTGCTTCGCAAGAGCTAGGAGATCTTCCTTTATCTCTTAATCAAGGTAACTCTTGCATCTTTTGAGTTTTCTTTATTTGATTTGATTTGGTTTTGGGTTTAGATGTAAGCTAAGCTGCTAAGCTTTGGTTTCAAGTGGACCTTTTGGTAGAGGTCCTTATATATGTGGTAGTTTGGGTGATTCTGGTTATTTCTTGATTGAGGGATAATTGTTGAGGTTTTGGATGTTTGGTGATGTTTTGGGTTGGTTTGTACTTTGGTTATATGTTGTGTTGGGTTGGAAATAGGTAGAAGAGGTGAAAAAGGAAGTAAAGCAAAACTAATTAGTATCACATTTGCCATCGATCTAAAACAAGCCATAGATGAGAACTAGCAATTTTTTAATGTGGTACTATTAAATGGAATTTTTTGAATTACTAAAATTGCAGCAAAGTGAAGGGAATTCAAGCACAAAGTATCCAATAGCTGTGGTACAACAAATACATGATTAAGTGGATAATTAACTAATAGTCGATGAGAAGCTATCCTCACTTCTTTATTTTTCATCTTAATTACTATAATAATAATAACAATTAAGAAGTGGCTTGATGAGATGAAAATGTCACAGCCCATATCTTTGTTTCTTGTCTCAGTTCCTTCAGTAATCAAGAAGATGATTTGTAAATGCAAATAATAAAGTAACAATAAGAAAACAATTATAAAAAAAAAGAAAAAAAAAGCAAGAAGATGCAATTTGGAGGAAGTAGCCACTGTGCTTTGATCATGACAGATGCTTATCAAGATGACTCATTTAAACTAGAAAATTTGGAAAAAAAAAAAGTAAAGTGATACATCATCTTTTTTTTTTTTTTTTGGGTGTTGCTTTCTTGACCAAGAAATATCTAAACCATATCTTACCTACTTAATTAAAAAAATAAAAAAATAATAAAAAAACGTGTCCTACCTGCAATTATACTTTATCACCTTTTTTTTTAATGCCGACTAACAATTAAATTAGTGATAAGATATCATCAACAATTATTCAGCCACTTTCATTTCTTTATTTCTTATCCACTCGAGAAGATGCTTCAAGCATAAAAGAAGAAATTCCTCTAAATTATTGCCTTAATCAAGAGGGTGCATCTGCGAGGAAAAAGTCTTACATCATCCAATTCCAAAGATGAGTTTGCTTTTTTCAACGTCATTGAATCTACGAATGAAAAAGGAACCAAACCATAATACTTCTTAATCACCTCAAAACGCAATCTTTCTACTATTAAAGTTTTTAGCCCTACCCACTACTAGATAGAATATTTAAACAACTAAAGGCCGCCAGCATTGACAACACCAATTAGTCTCACAACAAGTATTATGTAGAATTTTTAAAAATCCGACAAAGAAAAATTAGTAGCATTAGATAGAATTTTCTAAATAACCATTCTATCTAAACGATTAATGACCAACACCATTCATCTCCCTCCTATGGAGGAAAAAGAGTAGAGAGAAGGTTAAGGGTAGAGACAGGGGATAGAGAAGGTTGAGGGAAAAGAGAAAACAGCCCCTACGGCGACAAGATTTTCGTGGATCTGTATATTTACTAGTCCCGATCATAGCTTTTTTAGACTTCTCCTCTCTCCTGAATTAAAATAGAATAGATTATACAAATGTGTCGTTGCTGACAAAAAAAAAAAAAAAAAAACCACCCCAGCGTGGTCAATCGTAAAACCAAGAAAATGCCAAGCAACTTCCATTGCAAAAGCATCCAAATTTCCCATTGAATTGAAGCACTGCACGGCACCACACTGATGGAGGCCCCCCCAGATGTGAACAGCTGATGGCCGCCTCCATTGACCCATCTTAGTATTGTCACGGCCGACAAATTTTGGTCTAAGCTTCCATACAGCTATTCTTTATCAAATCATGCAACATATATTTATTTGTAAACCAAACATGTAACAAATATTTGGAGAAAATAGAGAAACTATTTGTGCCCTCTTTTTGCTTCAAGATCAGGTAACCTCCTCTTCTATTCATAGTTTCTTCATAGTATTATGGATACATTGACATGGGGTGTATGATGGAATTCTTTTTGTCATATGAATTTTCAAAATTCCTTAATGAATTAAATTTAAATTCTTTTTAGTTGTTTTCTTAAATACTTGATAGCTTATTCTTGGTCTTCTACCTGATTATATGAATAATTATACGGCTTCAATGATTTTTCAAAATTATCCCTCTTCAATAATAGCTAACAATCCTGGACGACAAGTAGGATGAGAGATTATGATGTATGTATTTCTAGGAAAGCTCGTTCATTTGCATTTGGATCAAAGTTTAAACAAGTTGGATAATTGATAATTTATTCCTGTTGAATCATCTTAGACATCAATTTATGCTGCACTTAGCACTGATCTTAATCACTTACAACTATGATCAGATTATCACCAATTAATGGCTTGGCATAATCCCTCACAACAACTTTTGCCGGTTCTTTTAGATGGAGCAATATACTCGTAAGGCAGCATACGACATGAAATAATTGATTTTTTTTCCAACTAGTATTGGGTGGCAAACTATGATCATATTTTAAGGACTTCGTATATATAGTAAGGTGGTCTGATTAGCAACAAATTTATTATTTTAGTTACCTACTGACTCATAAAAACAAATACACTAACATTAATACTTTTAGATGGATAAGAAATCACACGAAGATTCAAATCAGTTTCACATTCAACAAAAACCATGACAATTAGTTGGTGTTCACGTTATTTGCCATGTAACAAAATTGATCATGCCTCAAAGGATTTGTTGTGCAAATTATGTAGATCGACCCATTGGGCATCGATCTAAACAAAGTCAGAATGTGCAAAAGGAAATATTGATGCAACTTAGAACAAATTAGATATGTAGACTCGACAAACATTGACAAAAAATTCCTAATTTTGGCCAACTTGGATATATAAACTTAAACGGTGATGTGAGGTGAAAAATTAGGGGCAACATGGTGGAACACTGGTCTAGGGGAATTATATGACAATTATAGTTTAGATGGAGTAAATTAATAAGCTCTTGACTTAAACCTGAAGGTGTTTAAATTTCCTTTGGCTTAAAGGTGTTTAAACCTGAAGCTGTCAGTTTTGTTGCAATTATTTACATTAGACGAACTTTTTAATACAAGGGCACGGTTGTAAAAGTAACAAGGTAGACAATCCTTTCCTTTCACTCCTCCCAAGTCTCAAACAAAACCAAAAAAATCATTTCTTTTCCTTTTTTTCCTAAGTTCCAAGACAACATTGAAGGAAACTTGTCTAACTTAATTAGTCAAACATTCTTTATGTTCGTGTATATATATATATATACATAATATATATACATACACACACATATATATATATTTATATGACTAAAAATCCAAGGTTGTGCAAAATTTAAAAGATTTTTTAATAATCAACAGTTCTACAATTTGGACAAAGAATCTCAAGATTTCATTATTGACCAAAGCAAGTAATTTGAGCACAAACCTCACTACCAAGACACTAAAGGTAACCATCCGCTACACCTCTCAAAATTTCTACTACACAGGAAGCACATTAACTGGTTTAAAAAGAGGGATCTGTTTTTGTTTATTGATTTGCTATATAAACTTTTTGGTCCCATTAATTTTCGCTACCTTAATTCCCTAATTGAGGAACGGTCTGATAAAAGTTTCACCACCTACTCAGATTGCTACAATTTATGAGTTCCAATTTCTTTTCATCCGACCACAGTGGTTTAATTTCTTCGACAACTAAGGCCCCCATCAGTGACTAAATCAGATTGCGCTAAAATTATTTTGAGGTGACCCACACAATTGATTAATCACAATTATACTAATTTAAATCTCACACATCAGCCCACTGGAATCGTTAACTCATCTCTCTTATTCTGACTGGCTTCTATTCTGATTTCTGCCAATTGTTGCGGAAACATTCCTTCCATCTCTTCTATCAGAAAACCTTTCGATCCTAGTTCCAATTCCAAGCAAGAAACAATGGCTGAGGCTGTTATCAGTGCTACTGTTGAGGTCGTCTTGGGGACACTTATTTCCATTGCTGCGGACCGCATTGGTATGGTTCGGGGAGTCAAAGCGGAGTTGGAGAGACTAAGCAACACTGCTGCAATGATCCAAGGTTTCTTGGCTGATGCTGACGGGAAAATGCATACCCAAGGGGTGCGAGAGTGGCTCAAACAGCTAGAAGATGAGGTTTTTAAAGCTGATACCGTGCTAGACGAGCTCAACTACGACAATCTTCGTCGGGAGGTGAAGTACCGAAATCAACCAATGAAGAAGAAGGTATGCTTCTTCTTCTCCTTCTTTAATGCAATTGGCTTTAGTTCCGGCTTGGCTTCAAAGATCCGGGACATCAACACCAACCTACAAAGGATCAACCAGCGAGCCAATGACTTGGGATTGGTCAGAAAGCACCAAAAGAAACTGGTGCCACTGGTGCCACGACAAGCAGACAGACCGACTCTATTGTCGTTCCGAACGTTGTAGGAAGATCCGGCGACGAGTCAAAGATTGTGGACATGTTATCGAGCCCATCTGAAAGGTTCTTTCTGTTATTCCATAATAGGCCGGGAGGTTTGGGAAAGACAACTCTTGCTAAATCAGTCTACAACAATCCAAAAATTGATGAGAATTTTGGCATAAGAGTTGGGTTTGTGTGGCTAGAAAAATTGATACAGTGGGGCTGTTCAAACTCATTTTAGAATTTGTTGACAAAAACAAAGGTTGAAGTGGATGGTAGGGAAGCCATAGTTCAAGAAATTCGAGGAAAGCTCAAGGGACAAAGATTTCCTTGTTCTTGATGATGTGTGGGATCATGATCAAGGATCGTGGGATGACTTTCAACACTTTGATGGGACTCAACGAAACCAAAGAAGCTGGTGTCTTCTCACTACTCGTCTAGAAACAGTGGCTAATGCTGTGCCTAGACATTTGCAAATGAATGATCGTCCTTATTTCTTAGGAAAGCTATCGGGTGATGAGTGCTGGTCCATCATAAAAGGAAGGTGATGAGCGCAGGGAAGAAGTGCAAGAAGAATTGGAAGCACTGAAGGAGCAAATTTTAAGGAGATGCGATGGCCTACCCTTGGCGGCAAGTTTGATTGGTGGCTTGTTGCATACCAACAGAAGAGATAAGTGGCACTCCATTGTGCAGGAGAGTCTTTTGAATGAATATCAAAGCGAGATTGAGCAAATACTTAAGGTGAGCTTTGATCATTTATCACCTGCATCAGTTAAGAAATTTTTGCATATTGCTCAATTTTTCCCCAGGATACTCAATTACGAGAAGATGAACTAATTCAGCATTGGATTGCAGAAGGTTTTGTTCTAAAGAATAATAGAGTGATGGAGGAAACAGGAGGCAAGTATTTGAGGATTTTGTTGCAAAATTCCTTACTAGAAAAAGTCGAAGATGAGGGGAGCACATATTATAAAATGCACGATCTCGTGCATGATTTTGCAAAATCAATTCTCAATCCAGAAAGCAGCAATCAGGATCGCTACCTTGCATTGAACTCTTCTGAAGGTTTGGCAGAAAATACCACAAGGACAATACCAGCCATCAATTCGCACGTTATTTCTCCATCTAGAGGGTGGCGTATCTACTGACATGAACATGCTTTTAAGATTCAAGGGCTTGAATGTTCTCAGATTGTCTGGCGATGATGTCGAGTCTCTACGAGCTCCATTGGCAAACTACTACATTTGCGGCTGCTCGACATTAAATCTTCTAGAATCAGAAGTTTGCCGGAATCTCTTTGCAAGTTATATAATTTGCAGACACTAACGATTGATGATGATGAACTTGAAGGAGGTTTTCCAAAGCGGATGAGCGATTTGATCAGCTTGCGGCATCTAAACTACTACCATGATGATGCAAAATTTAAAATGCCGGCGCAGATGGGACTATTGACTTGTCTTCAAACTCTGAAATTTTTTAATGTAAGTCAAGAGAGGGTCGTGGTATCGAAGAGCTTGGGACCTTGAAATATCTGAAAGGATTGTTGGAGATAAGAAATCTTGGACTAGTGAAGGGCAAAGAAGCAGCTAAACAAGCAAAATTGTTCGAAAAGCCAGATCTGTCTCGCTTGACATTTGCATGGGAGCTGCGACATCTGGAAAGTGATAACCGTGATGAGGATGTGTTGGAAGGTCTCCAACCTCACCCAAATTTGGAAAGGTGAAAATTCGATATTTTATGGGTAATAAATTTTCACAATGGCTTATCAATTTGTCAAAATTGGTGGAGTTACAGATAATAGACTGCAAGAGATGCAGTGAACTCCCTCATTAGGACAACTACCATCCCTCAAACGTCTCTCTTTGATAAGATTAGACAACATTCGATTTATTGGAGATGAGGAGGAGGAGGAGGGCGGCGCTAGAAGACGAAAATTCTTTCCTGCCCTTGAAGAACTCTGGGTAATAGATATGGGGAATTTGGTAGAGTGGAAGGATGCAGACCAAGTGCGGTCAACAGTAGGTGAAGCAGAAGCAGATGTCTTTCCCATGCTGAGGAATTGTCACATTCGACGTTGCCCACAACTGACCACTCTTCCATGCTCGTGAAAAGTCTAGACGTGGAGGGTTGCCGTAATCTAACAAGTATAAAAAGGGGTTATGGCACTGCTTCTGTTGAGGAGTTGAGTATTCAATTTTGCGACAATTTTAGGGAGCTGCCAGATCTGGATCTGTTTGGATCGAGTTTGCAGCGATTGACCATCTCATTTTGCCCAAGATTAATTAGTCTGGGAGTAAATGGACAGAAATGCCCCTACCATGCCTTGAGGAATTGAGCATTGATAATTGCGAAGGGTTGACCACTATATCCGACAAAATGTTCGAGTCATGCCGGTCTCTGCGGTCCCTGTCGTGATGTGGTGCCCCAATCTGGTATCATTTTCGCTTAATTTGCAGGAAACGCCTTCTCTCGAGAAATTCATCTTATTCAAATGTCCCAAATTGATCCCTCATGGTTTCAAAGGATTTGCTTTTGCCACCAGCTTAAGAGAATTGAGCATCAACAGTCCCTTCTCCTCAGATGACTCCTCAGTCGATGATTTTGATTGGTCTGGTTTAAGATCAGCATCAACACTCCGTAAACTTCGATTAGAAGGGTTACCTCACACGGAGTCCCTGCCACACCAGCTTCAATACTTGACTACCCTCACTTCACTAAGTCTGGCCGACTTTGGAGGAATAAGAGTGCTACCGGATTGGATTGAAACCTTGTGTCCCTGAAACCTAGAGCTATGGATTGCGACAAGCTTCAGTCTTTACACCAGAGGCCGCCATGAGACGACTCACAAAGTTAACTCGTGTTGAAGTCTATGGGTGTCCTCTGTTAAGACAACGATACACTCCCCAAAGAGGCGTCCACGGTGAGATTTTCCTATCTAAAGTTCACACGCATATATATGTGTATAAATTTTTTGTATCTGCATCTCATTGACGTATATTTGCTCTTCAATCTCTTGTACTTTTTCTCCATCTCTTTTCTGCAAAGTTATTCTCTGTAATTAATTCTCTTCTTTTGGGCAGACCTTGGTTCTTTTCAAAGATTAGTTTTAACAAAGCGGTTTTGAGCAAACTAAGAGAGACCAAAATTCTGGATTTTCTCTGCATCTCACATGAAAGATTTTGAACATCTTAAAAATCAACTTGTTACCTTATATTTGCGCAAGAACGAAATTATTAGCAACGGTACATACACAATTAGCCTCTTTGTTTGAATGTGTTAGCAAATGTTCCATTGGATGTGCAATGCTAGATGTACATGGAAGCATTCGTCATTTTTCTGTCACTGATAATGCCAGTCTGAATGGACAACATTAAAGCTAATCAAGAAACAGTTGTTGAAGAAAATTCAAGAAGCAATTTGCTATGCTTTGGGACTCCGTGTTCTTATTGCCATAAAATTATATCATGCCATAAAATTATATCAGTCTCCTTGAAGTTCAAATATGTTTGTTGAGGAACTAGATGCAAACCTTCACCGATGGTTGTTTATTATCTTTCACAAGTTTGAGGAGTTTGTACATCGGAATTACCTTGCTTTTCTGTTCTGTGAGCTGAATTACTGTATTGTTACCTTGCATACAAGCAGTGACAGCGAACAAGAAGGCAATGATGGTGCTCAAACAGCAGGCTCATGTTGTTTCCCACCGTTGCTGAAGAAGGAGAGCTCAGGAGGTACAAGCAGTGACCGCGAACAGAAGGCAATGATGGTGCTCAACATCAGCTTTCTCCCCAAGAACTCTGTTTTACCTCCACCAATTTATTAAAATACAAGGGAATTGGTGCAAGTTTTTATCAAAGTTTGCTTGAGTCATGTAATTGGCCAGAAAACAGGTGTTTTTCTGCACTTTCATGTGTTTTTGAACGTTTGTCCTATGCTATATAGCTTAGTTTTTGTTCTTTAAGATTTTACATTTACTCAACATGTCATTTAATTGTGAAAAAAGTTGGTTTTTTCAATTTCCTTGTACTGGTTACTAGACCATACCTTTTCTTTGCGTTCCTTAGCTGTCATAACTGAATTCATACTGAAATGTAATCTTTGAGAAGTTTGTACATCACAATTACCTTGTTTTTTTGTTCTGTGAGCTGAATTACTGTATTGTTACCTTGTCTAGCATGACCGACAAGAAGGCAATAATGGTGCTCAAACATTAGTTTCATGTTGATTCCATCCTTGCTGAAGAAGGAGAAACCAGAAGGTATGATGGTTCTCAAACATAGCTTCTCTCCCAAAGAACTCTTTAACCTCCGCCCATTTATTAAAATACAAGGAACTAGTGCAAGTTTTATCAAAGTATGCTTGAGTCATGCAATTTGCCAGAAAACAGGGTGTTTTTTTTGTACTTTCATGTACTTTGAACGTTTGTCCTGTCTATATAGTTAGTTTTTAATCTTTAAGATTGTACATTTACTAGGTGCTTAACATGTCATTTGATTGTGAAAGAAGCTGGTTTATTCCATTTTCTTGTACTGGTTACTAGACCATCCTTTTCTTTGCATTCCTTAGCTGTCATAACTGAATTCATACTGAAGTGTAACATTATGATGGTATTTTCCAGAGTCTTAGAAGCAGACCTCATGTTGTTTCGACAAAGACACCACCCTTTGCTGTTGCATTTCTTACAAGAGTGCCAGGGGGCAGAAGTTATTTTCACTGACTAGACAGGTTTGAAGATGAAGGTAGTAATCAATGATGAGAATCTTGCACATCAGAGAGCGCTAGCTTTGATGGAGGCTTCACCAATAGGTGGTTCTCCCCAGGTTTCCCAAATATAAGTTTTTACTCATCTCCTGCTTGGGCTGCAGAAAGAAAGGCAATAATTTAGCTTGTGCATCTTCAGGGCAGTTTTGATAGTTTTTTATCTGCATTCTTGATATGTATTTCATAAATCAATTACCAAACTTTTTTTCCCCTTTGCATAGCATGCTGATCGCTGAAACAAATTGGAAAGAGACCAGAATTTTGGGTTTTCTCTGCCTCTCTGAACCTCTGAAAGATTTGAACATCTTAAATATCTTTAACTTCAAATTGTTACATTCTGTTTGGCCAAGGTCGAAATTATTAGCATGGTTCATACCCAATTGCCTCTTCGTTTGAATGTGCTACAAAAGTTTCATTTGATTTGCGATGCTAGATGTACATGGACATATTCTTCATTTTTCTGTCACTGATATTGCCAGTCTCAATGGATAACATTAAAGCTAATCGAGAAACGATTTTCAAAGAAAATTCTTGACACAATTTGCTGTTCTTTGGGACTCTGTGTTCTTGTTGCCATAAAATTACCAGTCTAATTGAACTTCAAATATGTATGTGGAGGAACTAGAGTGCTGTGAACATTCACCTCTTATAATTTATACGGCATGCTTCATATCAATGACAATAATGTCTTTTTCTTTTCAATGAAAAATGTTGGATAATTGTTCATCATCTTTCACAAGTTTGGAAAGTTTATACGTCACAATTGCCTTGATTTTCTGTTCAATGAGCTGGATTACTGTATTGTAACCTTGCAGATGAGCAATGCAAGGAATGATGGGCTCAAACATCAGCTTCGTGTTGTTTTCCATTGCTGCTGAAGTGAAGAGCTCAGGAGGTATGTGGTGCACAAAAGTGATAATCCAGCACTTCTCTCCCCGAGAACTCTAAGTTTGCATTCTAATAAGCTTAAGTCATGTAATTGGCATGAAAACAGGGTGTTTTGCTGCACTTTTATTTGTTGTTGAATGCTTACCCTGTGCCACATCGCTTATCTTTTGCTCTTGAAGATTTTTATGTTTATTTGGTGCTTAACATGTGTTGTGATTGTGAAAGAATCTGGTTTTCAATTTTCTTGCACTAGTTACCAGTCCACACCTTTTCTTTGCTTTCGTAGTTTGTCATGATTGAAGCTGTTCTGAAATGTAATATTAAGATGTTTATTCCGAAGCAGACCTCATGTTATTGGACAAATGACACCACCGATTGCCGTTGCATTTCTTACTAGAATGCCAAGGGACAGAAGTTATTTGCATTGAGAGTTTGAAGATGAAGGCAGTAGTTATCAATGATGTTAATTTAGCTCATTAGATAGCATTAGCTTTGATGGATGTTTCGCAAATAGTTGGTTCTCCCCAGGTTCCTCAAACATAAGTTTTTCGGTTTCTCCTGGTCAGAATGCAGAAAGGAAGGTAATGATTTAGCTTGTGTGTCTTGAGGGCAGTTTTAATAGTTTCTGATCTACTTTCTTGATATGTATTTAGTAAATCTATTACCAAAACTTTTTTTCTTTTTGTTGATTTCTGAACTGAAAATGGCTAGTAGCAGGCTTGTAGAGTGTGATATGGATGAAGAAGAAAGAGAGGGGAGCATCATCCGAGCATGGAAGCTGATGCTGGAGACCTATCAAGATGCGCAGCTGATTATAGTCAAACTGGACTGATGGATGTTTGTGACAGTAGACACAATAAATTGGATAAACAATCAATTTGGAGCAGTGAGAAATGTAGATGCAAGAAGTCTTGAATTGCACAAAGATCCAAGGAAGAGCAGGGAAAACGTTCTTTTCAGTAGATATGTGCATATTTTGTGAAGAATTAACACTTTTTAAAATATGGCATTTCATACTTTTGGTGTATCAGAATGTGACAAGTCCTGATAGTACGTTTTCTTCATCTTTTATAGGGAGTAAAAGTATGTCTAGAGACCATGCTTGCAAGATTTCCTACCCTTTTTTAGTTAGACATTTGATAGAGAGAACTTTTCCTCTTCAAATAATCATTTTTATTATCTATGATAGGTGAAATTGCTTATCAATTTTACCTGATACTGCGAAATTGCTTTGGGTTCATAAACAAATCATAACAGTAAAATCTGAAGGCTTTTATATAAAACCTAAATGATGATCTTATTGTTAAAGGTTTTATATAAAAATAGGTACTTAATGTCAAGAGCCTAATCTTCAAGACAAAAAATTTATTAAAGCCGTTAAATTAAGTATTTGTACTAAGATTTTTATTTTCCTCTTTCTTTCAAGTAAGGTGGGGAGAGATGAGCAATCCATAGCATTCTTCAATCTTCGATTTAGAGAATTGGAGTCTTTTCTTTAAGGGTGCGTTTGATAAAATTGAAATTTAAAATTTGAAATCTGAAGTCTGAAATCTAAATCCATTAACTACTGAATTGTTAAGTACTAAATTTGATACATTTAAATGTATATCACATTAAGTGATAAGTGAATAACTTATCACTTATTTTTTAGAACAAGTTTTGCTTTGGAAATTCATTGCCACTTAATTAATCCATGTGTTTTAGTTTTAGTTATCGAACGCATCTGAATATAATAAGCTATGAATCCATTAAATTTAAGTGTTAAATTGGATTATCAAATAGAATCCAAGTTTAATAGAATTTCAACTAAAAATCAATAGGTTCGTTGAGCTAACATAATTTGCTAATAATAATAATAATAATAATAATACTTTCAAATATTATTCAGAGAAATGAGACATGAGCCTTTAGTCTTCATTCTCCAGTTGAACTTAGACGTTTTAGACTTTTAGTGGAGCACTTCTTTCAGGTAAAAATTAATTTCGCTAAAGCATTTAAATAATTATAGAAAACTATTGTTCTCTTGAATTTGGATCATAAAATATTTAGAGGTCAAACATATTGATTTCGATGCTGTTGAACCTCTGAGTAATTATCGAAGAACCTTTTGCAATGATATCCTGCCAAGAGATTCACAATCCATGCTATATTGCATTGTTGAAAATCATACCAAAAAACCAGTCCTACAAAAATCACAATACTGTAGTACATATAATCAGTTAACTTCTGGTCTTCGTGGAGTACAACTGTTTGACCCATTTCTTTAGCCCAAAATAAATTTATAAGTAGCGAAAGAAACGACCATATGATCAAAACAGTAGGGCAAAATACGATTTGCCCTCATGTAATTTAGCGCTTTTTCGCATAATCTCTCATATAGTTTCATAGTTATGCATACTCTTTTCATGATTTGGATGAAAATGTCAAAATGACAGAATTTGTATTCTATAATAGAGTCAATTAAAATGTCAACAGTATTCCTATGTAAAGTTGAAAATTATTTATTAACCATGAAAATTTATGTATATAATTTAAAAATCATAAAGGAATTATATGGTAAAACATTAAATCATAAAGGGGTTACATGATAAATCATAAAATCATACGAGGTTAAAGTATCATACATATTATATTTATATATTTTGGCCATTTCAACCAGTTTAGTTTTGAAACAAGAGTAATTTTGACATTTTCATGGATTCCATTACAAATGATCATTCCAGTTATTTTGATACTTTAATTTAAACAATGAGATGATAATATATAGTTTTTACAACTATAGAGAGATTTTGTAAAAAATTGCTAAACTACAGGGGGTAAAGTATATTTTGTCCAAAACAGTAATACTAGATTCAAACTAATGAAATTCTCTATGGATTAAAATTGCAAAAACACTTTTCCGTTGGCAAGCCGGGACTTTCTTATTTACAAAGGATTCAATTCCGCAATTGCTTAACTCCAGCTGAAATCGTGTTGCACCATGAACTTTCAAATCAAACCGGAGAACGATGCCGCCTACGCCAAACCATTAAAACTATGTTGAACGGAGTTTGACACGAGGACTATTGCAGGTGGCAACTCTCCAAAAAGGTTGACCGTCATTATTTGGTTAAAAAAAATATTAGGATCAAATGACATCTTGTAAATAAATTTTAACACCATATATGAGGTCCACAAAATTTTATTCTATATTTATAAGTTGCTGAAAATAAGTTACATTCTAAATAAAGTGAATTACATCTTGTGCAAATGAAACAAAATCGGCCCAAATGATTTTTCTGACAATCGTTTGAATCCTTGGTCCATGGCAAACTTATTACAATACATAGAGAGGCCTTCTCTTATAGATTATATATCACTGCACACTATTACACTAATAATTGAGTCTGACTTGTGAGGGTGGCAACTGTGGTCCATAATAGAATTTTCATAAGACATACTTGGTTTCTAAATTATCCTTCACATTTTGTTGAATAAATTATTTCATCCTTTACTTTTAAAATGATAACTTTATGTTTCATACAAAATCAAATCAGTAAAATTTGATTCCAATCTAGATTTTTTACCATATTTTATCCTAAATCTATCACGTGACCCATATGCAATCATTATTTATGTATGGAAAGGTTGATCAGTTGCACGACGAAAAATTACCCACTAATGTATGAGGATAGTCTCTGATGCCACATCATACATTTGCACTTATTAGTGTAAAAAATTTTAACATTAATAGTGTATACAATATTAATCCTATATATTTAATAATTCAAAGAATTATTAGATTAGAAAATTCAATGTGCATTCATATACATAGATCAAGAAAATAAAATAAAAAGTGCAAGGACAATTGTATATCTTTCGTATTGTAGGCTCTATTTTCAAATTCGGACCGGATCGATCGGTCTGACCGATCAAATAAAAAATTGATTGTTCGATTCGAGTTAACTTTAAAAATTGAAAGATTAAAAAAATCAATCAAATCTGGTCAAACCGGGTCAACCTGATTTGACCGAAAAAATAAAGAACCGGACTTGTCATCACCATGGTTTTCGTGGGCAGCCTTTTTTGACTTTTTTCCGGAGATAACGGGAGGGAAACATATTCGGAGATTTTGAGCCATGATGAAAGAATCTTTTTTTTTTATATTTTTTTGAAAGGTCAAAATATCTTTAATATACTTTAATATTATATTTTGATCCCTAAGTTGTTAAAAATTATTAATATATCTCAAATATTTCATATTTTATAAACATTATCTTAAAGTTTGGTGTTATTTTTCAATTAAGTCTATAATTTTAATTCTAAACTTGTTATTGCTCATTAAATAATATAAATTGCTAATTAATTGTTCTAATTTCTTTATATTTTCTTGTTAAATATATTTGAAACATCAAATATATATGAATACATCTTTATTAATATTAATATGCTATTAGTATTTTACATATAATATTTTAATTTTTAAATAATTTTTATTTATGACGTCATCCGGTTCAACCCCGATCGAACCCGGTTGAATCCATTGACCCCTGAGCTCGACCGAGTCGATTCCCGGTCCGATTCTGAAAACATAGATTGTAGGTTTCGAGCAAATATGTCTTGATCGGGTTAAGGTTGTGGTTTTTATATAGATTTGAATCAACTATCGTAATATAGAGGGCAAAGGTTATGGTTAGATTAGTAGATGACCTTTTCTTCTTTTCAAGTGGTCTACTTGAATTTGTTTAGTAAGATTGAATCAGATAGAGGATGAACTACGTTAAACATAGAATATGGTATTAATAAGGAGTCAGTCGGTGACGTTGAATTAGAGTAAACTAAAATTAAGAAAAGACTTAGCTTAAAAGTATCAATGGACTTTGTTTTGGCAAACCTTAGGAGAGATAAATGTAGTTGATCGAACATGATTAGAATAATATACCATCCAAATCTATTTTCAGTTGAGGAACCACATATGTTACATTTATGCATTCAAATCTACCAATTGTGATGCTTTAACAGCACCTTCTTGATTATGTAAATAGTTTTCTAATTTTTTTTATGCTTTGAGGGATAATTTGTAAAAGTTAGTTTTTTTAAGAGTAAAATGTCCCTTTTTTTCTTTTTTTTTGAAATAAATTCTAGCCATATATAGACATGTGAGTTTTTTTTAGTAATATAGCGATTTAGATTTCTTTCATTAGAATGCACTGACAATGATTTTCAATGATTTTCTTATAATCCCATTCATGAATAGACTTCTAATAACTCTTTGGGCTATTTACACAATACAAACATGGAGTTATTCTTGCAGTATTGCTCATAAGAGGGACAAAGTCAATATGACTCTCTACTTTGTAAGTTAATTTGTTTGGACTTCAAGTTAATATTTTAAGTAAAGGATAAAAGTAGCGTGATAAGTATATGTCTGTATTTGAGGCTTACAATGTTTTAGCAAATGCTTGGTAATCCCCTTACTAAAATCAAATTCGATGATAAATTACTAATTGATTTTCTAGATAAAGTCACCGTATCCTTTAGTTAAGCATTAAGAGATGAGGCAAACCTATAGATGGAGAAGACCTTAGAATAGTTGGTGAGGTGGTAAGGAGCTTTTCCTAATTTTCCCTTAATAAGATTTTTATTCCTCTCTTTTCTCAAAATAAACTTTTTAGCTTTAGTAGCCTGGCTATTTGAAACATTTGCAAGTGAAGTTCCATGAAAACTGCGTTAGAGTTTGCTTATTCGAGATAAGGCAAGTGAAAATGCCAAGCAACTTCCAGTGCAAAAGCATTCAACTATGCCAACGAAGCATTGCGCTTCTACACGGATTGAGGGCTCACAATTGGTCACACCATTATCCTTTCTTGTCATTAGAACATAATACTAGAAATATGCATATGAAATATTTCGCTTATTATGGCATTTGTACACCTTTAATGCAACGAATGTACGATTTAAACATTAGTTTATGTTGTAATGAATATGTAAGTAAGAGTTACATTATGGCTAATCTTTGCCATATAGTATCTCAAGCAATCAGTCCTAATAATTGTTAAGGCACTTTTTACCTATTCAATGAGATTGAAACAATGCATCGTTCAAGTTATTCTTTGTCAAAAGTCGTTAGTCAAGCACTTTCGCAAAAAAACAAAGGAGGAGTAAGTGTTCATGCCCCGTTCTTGATAAGATGGAAGCAAATGCATCATTCAAGTTATTCTTGGCCAAAATTCATTCATCATTTTCAAAAGGCTTCATGAAAGTGAGCTCAACATTGTTGGTTGTGTGTAAGTTTAAAAGTACTTCATATCTCAAGATACCATTGATTCTTATTTTCTCTTTTCAAAAATAAAAGTTCAAGTAATTTGACATCACAAGTAGGGATGGCAATGCACCCACGGGTACCCACCCCGCGGGGGGCTCTCGGGGGGGGGGAATTTTTTCCCCCGCTTTCCCCCCGCTTAGAAACGGGGCGGGGGGCGGGGGAGTATACCCCGCCCCATCCCCCGCCCCGCCACCCGCAAAAATATATATATAATTATATATAATATGTAAGTTAATTAGTTATAAACTTATGATAATGATATTACTAGTTAGATGTATTATATAATGTATATTAGTTTATGTAATATAATGGATATTATCAATTATATAATTATACATGTCTACTAATAGAATTTATTAATTAGTTATACTAAATTTACTAATACATTTATACTAAATTTCTAATTACACTTAATAGAATAACACTTTTTTCTCAAAAAAAAGCACAAACACAATAATGAATTAGTGATTGTATTTGTACTAAAAGTGAAAACTTGACTATTTTAATTATATTTATTTCATCATATTGGATTGTATTCAAATAACTTCTGTTTGATTGTTTTTATGAGTTTCAATTGTAAAATTACAATGAATAATAATTTGGTGATGTGTTGGCGGGGCGGGGGCGGGGCGGGAGGCGGGGGACGGGGCGGGGGTCGGGGGAATTAATAGGCGACGGGGCGGGGGACGGGGGAGGGGTCCCCCGCCCCATCCCCGCCCCGTTGCCATCCCTAATCACAAGCCCGATTACTGAGACATAAAGGCAAGTATAAGTGTTTTACATGTTTTTCAAATTAAGAATATGTTATACATCCCCCAAAAAATCTTAAAAGAAAAAAAAACTTCCTTTCTTGCTTGAAAAATTGCATTGTAACGCGTTCTATTGTTGGGCCAATTAAGCCTCATGAACGAGATACGGAAGTCATTGTCTACGAGTAAATTTTCAAATTCGGCTGCCTTTTGAAGCTAGTTCGCAAAACGTAAAAGTTTTTAAACAAAGAACGCATTTACTATATCCAATGTTTAAAAATTTAGAAAAAAAAATATAGTTTTAGTCCTTATTGTTTAGTCTCTGTATAGTTTTAGATCTTAAAGTTTCGGCAAAAGTAAATCTAGTCGTTAATGTATAGTATATGTACAGTTTTAGCTCTCCGAGGATTGGTTTGGCGGTTGAGGTTGCTGAAGATGGAGACTTAGGTCCCTGGTTCGAATCTTGCTGCCAGCAAGTTGTGGAGGGTAGGGAATAGTCTGTGGAGTTCACTCCCTGCGGGACACCCCTAAAACAAAAAAAGTATAGTATATGTACAGTTTTAGACTTTAAAGTTTTGGCAAGAGCAATCCGATTTTCAATGTCACCAATTTGAAGCATTTTAAGGACCATTGGTAAATTTTTCTAAATATTAATCAAATCAGACACGTGCAATCACATGTTTGTTAAAAAAAACTTCTTAAAAGAGAATCAAAATAATGAGCAATCTTTAACAATAAGAATAACTTGCATGCTAACACATTAGTAACAAATTACTTAAGAAAAAAAGAAAGAAAATTTGTTAATCTATACTAAAAATTAGGAATTACATTTTTTTACTTGGAGACACTAGAGATAGTTAGTGAACATGAATTCTAGATCAATGAACTTGGTATATTGAAGTTTGAGTTTAGAAATTTTCCTTCTTTTTATTGGTTAAATAGTTAACAGATGAGTTATTAGTTCTTAATTTTATTGTTTAAAGTTAGCTACTATTTTTCTTCTTTATTTTGAAATTTAATTTAATAGGCACATGCATGAGTAAATTTTATTAGTAATTGAGATAAAATTCTTCAAATGTCCTAAATCAACTTTAAATTGAATATAAGGTGGACCAGATTTGTTCTTACTAAAACTTTTATGGACTAAAACTACACATGTACTAAATATTGAGGATCATGACTGTTTTTGTTAAAACTTTAAGGACTAAAACTGCATATGGACTAAACATTAAGAATTAAAACTACATTTTCTTCAAATATGGAATATTTATGCCTACAAAGAATGAAAAGTGGCATTCAACAAATGCAACTTTTTAATAATTAGGATTGGTTCAATGGTTAAGAGAGGACTCTTAAAGTTTTTCTCGCTGTCAAATTTAGGATTTGAATCCTGTGCCGAATAATTGAGAGTAGGAAGTATGTGGGTATGAGTGGGAGGATTAAAAAAAAACTGCAACTTTTGAAGTTGCAAAAGGCGCATTTGAATCCTTTCAGTTTTTTTACTAACAAATGACGTGAATTGCTATATGCTTTTCTCCAGTGTGATTGCGATTAAAGTTTCTTGTCCCTCTCTGGTGGAACTGACACACAATTTTTCAATAAGAAAAAGATGAAGGGCCCGGCAACAACAGTGATGTGAAAATGCCAAGCAACTCCCATTGCAAAAGCATCCAAATTCGGATAATTCAACATTGGCAATAATTCATACAGTAATTCAGATATTTTCAGTAACAGGCCCCGGCATTGAATCATCCAATTTCCTACTGAATTGAAGCATTTGTCACATAATTGTCATTATTTATTTCTTGGACCAAAGCAGGGTTGTTAATGTGAGCATAAATGTCTCATGTGATAACGGTGGTGGTACAATTTAAGCATGGGTTTATGTTACAGTTAATATACGAACACAAAGGTCAATGTGTAATCCTAAAAAATGGGTAATTGATTATGAATTGTCTAATTATAAGGACATAGAATAAAATTTTCTCTTAATTTCTTAAATTGGAGAATAAAAAAAGCCGGTAACTCGTAGTTGACTTATTATACAAATATATATATATATGTTGTTTCTTCAGCTTTATAAATTTTTGGTACAAAATTTTTTTTATTTTCTTAAGAATAAAAATTTTGAAAAATATAATTTGGAATAAAAGAGAGAAGACAGGGGAAAAAATATATCAACATAGTAGAGAGAGTTATATCTGTCTTTTAGGAAGTCAAGTGTCACAAAATAAAAATTAGGGAGTAAAGTGACAAACAGGGCATAACTTACCGGGATAAATGTAAACAGGGCACTACACTGATGGAGGCCCCCTGATGTGAACAGCTGATGGCCGCCTCCATTGACCCATCTTAGTATTGTCACGGCCGACAAAATTTGGTCTAAGCTTTCATACAGCTATTCTTTATCAAATCATCATGCAACATATATTTATTTGTAAACCAAACTTGTAACAAATATTTGGAGAAAATAAAGAAGCTATTGGTGCCCTCTTCTTGCTTCAAGATCAGGTAACCTCCTCTTCTATTCATAATTTCTTCATAGACACTATTATGGATACATTGGCATGGGGTGTATGATGGAATTCTATTTTTGTCACATGAATTTTCAAAATTCCTTAATGAATTAAATTTAAAATTTCACATGTTTTAGTTGTTTCTTGGATATTTGATTGTGCTTTTTCTTAAATACTTGATAGCTTATTCTTGGTCTTCTACCTGATTATTTGAATCATTATAGGGCTTCAATAATTTTTCAAAATTATCCCTCTTCAATAATATCTAACAATCCTGGACGACAAGTAGGATGAGAGATTATGATGTATGTATTTCTAGGAAAGTTCGTTAATTTGCATTTAGATCAATGTTTAAACAAATTGGATAACTGATAATTTATTCCTGTTGAATCAATTTATGCTGCACTCAGTACTGATCTTAATCACTTACAACTATGATCAGATTATCACCAATTAATGGCTTGGCATAATCACTCGTAAGGCAGCATACGACATGAAATAATTGATTTTTTTCCAACAAGTATTGGTGGCAAACTATGATCTGATTTGCAACAAATTTATTATTTTAGTTACCTACTGACTCATAAAAACAAATACACTAACATTAATACTTTTAGATGGATAAGAAATCACACGAAGATTCAAATCAGTTTCACATTCAACAAAAACCATGACAATTAGTTGGTGTTATTACACAATTAAGGCCCCCACCAGTGACTAAATCAGATTGCGCTAAAATTATTTTGAAGTGACCCCACACAATTTGATTAATCACAATTATACTAATCTGAATCTCACACATCAACCCACTGGAATCGTTAACTCATCTCTCTCTTATTCTGACTGGCTTCTATTCTGATTTCTACCATTTGTTGCTGAAACATTCCTTCCATCTCTGATATCAGAAAACCTTTCGATCCTAGTTCCAATTCCAAGCAAGAAACAATGGCTAACGCTGCTATCAGTGCTGCTGTTAAGGTCGTCTTGGGGACACTTATTTCCATTGCTGCGGACCGCATTGGTATGGTTCGGGGAGTCGAAGCGGAATTGGAGAGACTAAGCAAAACTGCTGCAATGATCCAAGGTTTCTTGGCTGATGCTGACGAGAAAATGCATACCCAAGGGGTGCGAGAGTGGCTCAAACAGCTAGAGGATGAGGTTTTTAAAGCTGATACCGTGCTGGACGAGCTCTACTACGACAATCTTCGTCGGGAGGTGAAGTACCGAAATCAACCAATGAAGAAGAAGGTATACTTCATCTTCTCCTCCTTTAATGCAATTGGTTTTAGTTCCAGCTTGGCTTCAAAGATCCGGCACATCAACACCAGCCTAGAAAGGATCAACCAACGAGCCCGTGACTTGGGATTGGACATTAAGTACCAAATTGAAGCTGCACCCCTGCTGATGCCGCTGGTGCCAGACAGACCGACTCTATTGTCGTTCCGAACGTTGTAGGAAGATCCGGCGACGAGTCAAAGATTGTGGACATGTTATCGAGCCCATCTGAAAATGTTCTTTCTGTTATTCCCATAACAGGCCCGGGAGGTTTGGGAAAGACAACTCTGGCGAAATCAGTCTACAATAATCCAAAAATAGATGGGCACTTTGGCCAAAAAATTTGGGTTTGTGTGGCTAAAGAACACATTAAGATAATGGACCTGTTCAAGCTCATTTTAGTACAATTGACAGGAGAAGAAGTTAAAGTGGATGACAGGGATGTTATTGTTAAAAGAATCGGAGAAAAGCTCAAGGGACAAAATATTTCCTTGTTCTTGATGATGTGTGGGATCATGAACAAGGCTTGTGGAATGATTATTTCAACACTTTGATGGGACTCAACGAAACCAAAGGAAGCTGGTGTCTTGTCACCACTCGTCTGGTACCAGTGGCAAATGCTGTGTCTAGACCTCTGAAGATGAACGGTGGTCCTTATTTCTTAGGAAAGCTATCAGGTGATGAGTGCTGGTCCATCATAAAAGGAAAGGTGATGAGTGCAGGGGAAGAAGTACCAAAAGAATTGGAAGCATTGAAGAAGCAAATTTTAGGGAGATGCGATGGCCTACCCTTGGCGGCAAGTTTGATTGGTGGCTTGTTGCTTACCAACAGAAGAGAGAAGTGGCACTCCATTGTGCAGGAGAGTCTTTTGAATGAATATCAAAGCCAAATTAATCAAATACTTAAGGTGAGCTTTGATCATTTGTCATCTCCATCAGTTAAGAAATGTTTTGCATATTGCTCGATTTTTCCCCAGGACACTAAATTAGGAGAAGATGAACTAATTCAGCACTGGGTTGCAGAAGGTTTTGTTCAACCAGATCGCCAAAACCAAAGATTGATGGAGGAAATAGTGGGTGATTATTTGAGGATTTTGTTACAAAATTCCTTATTGGAAAAAGTAGAAGAGTCGTGGGGAACATATTATAAAATGCATGATCTCGTGCATGATTTTGCAAAATCAGTTCTCAATCCTAAAAGCAGCAGCCAGGATCGCTACCTTGCATTACACTCATATGAAGAAATGGCAGAAAATGTCAGAAGGAATAAAGCGGCATCAATCCGCTCGTTATTTCTCCATTTAGGGGTGGCATATCTACTGACATGCTTTTAAGATTCAAGTGCTTGAATGTTCTCAAATTGTCTGGAGATGATGTCAAGTTTCTACCGAGCTCCATTGGCAAACTACTACATTTGCGGTTGCTCGACATTTCATCTTCTAGAATCACAAGTTTGCCAGAATCTCTTTGCAAGCTATATAATCTGCAGACACTAACGATGAGAAATGGTGCACTTAAAGGAGGTTTTCCAAAACGGATGAGCGATTTGATTAGCTTGCGGCATCTAAACTACTGTTATCATCGTGCAGAATTGAAAATGCCGGTGCAGATGGGACTATTGACTTGTCTTCAAACTCTGGAGTTTTTTAATGTAAGTCAAGAGAAGGGTTGTGGCATCGAAGAGCTTGGGACCTTGAAATATCTGAAAGGATCGTTGGAGATAAGAAATCTTGGACTAGTGAAGGGCAAAGAAGCAGCTAAACAAGCAAAATTGTTTGAAAAGCCAGATCTGTCCGACTTGGTGTTTGAATGGAGAGTGGGGATCGGGAAAGCGATAACCGTGAGGAGGATGTGTTGGAAGGTCTCCAACCTCACCCAAAGTTGCAAGGGTTGGAAATTGATTCTTTTATGGGTAATAAATTTCCACAATGGCTTATCAATTTGTCAAAATTGGAGGCATTGCGGATAGGAGACTGCAAGAGATGCAGTGAACTCCCCTCATTAGGACAACTGCCATCCCTCAAACGTCTCTATTTGATAGGATTGGACAACATTCGATTTATTGGAGATGAATTCTACGGTATTACTGCTAATGAGGAGGAGGAGGAGGAGGGCAGATCACGAGCATCAGGGAGCGGCAGTAGAAGGCGAAAATTCTTTCCTGCCCTTGAAAGCCTCTGGGTCTACGGTATGGGGAATTTGGCAGAGTGGAAAGGTGCAGACCAAGTGAGGTCAACAGTAGGTGAAGCAGAAGCAGATGTCTTTCCCGTGCTGAGGAATTTTTACATTCGAGATTGCCCACAGCTGACCGCTCTTGCATGCTCGGGTAAAAGTCTATACGTGGAGAAGTGCCATAATCTAACAAGTATAAAAAGGGGTTACGGCACTGCTTCTGTTGAGAAGTTACGGATCGAATCTTGCGACAATCTTAGGGAGCTGCCAGATCTGGATCTGTTTGGATCGAGTTTGCAGCGATTGACCATCTCATTTTGCCCAAGATTAATTAGTCTGGGAGTAAATGGACAGAAATGCCCCCTACCATGCCTTGAGGAATTGAGTATTCATAATTGCGAAGGGTTGACCACTATATCCGACAAAATGTTCCAGTCTCTGCGGTCCCTGACGGTGAAGCGTTGCCCCAATCTGGTATCATTTTCGCTTAATTTGCAGGAGACGCCTTCTCTCGAGAAATTCGTCTTAGAGAACTGTCCCAAATTGATCCCTCATAGTTTCAAAGGATTTGCTTTTGCCACCAGCTTAAGAGAATTGAGCATCAACAGTCCCTTCTCCTCAGTTGATGATTTTGATTGGTCTGGTTTAAGATCAGCATCAACACTCCGTGAGCTTCAATTAGAAGGGCTGCCTCACACGGAGTCCCTGCCACACCAGCTTCAATACTTGACTACCCTCACTTCACTAAGTCTGGCCAACTTTGGAGGAATAAAAGTGCTACCGGATTGGATTGGAAACCTTGTGTCCCTTGAAACCCTATCGCTATGGGATTGCGTCAAGCTTCAGTCTTTACCACCCGAGGCTGCCATGAGACGACTCACAAAGTTAACAAGTGTTGAAGTTGATGAGTGTCCTCTGTTAAGACAACGATACACTCCCCAAAGAGGCATCTACTTGGAGGAGGAGATTTCAAGTGATTCGGTGAGATTTTCCTGTCTAAAGTTCACACTCATATATATGTATATAAATTTTTTGTATCTGCATCTCATTGACGTATATTTGCTCTTCAGTCTCTTGTACTGTTTTTCTCCATCTCTTTTCTGCAAAGTTATTCTCTGTAATTAATTCTCTTCTTTTGGGCAGACCTTGGTTTCTTTTCAAAGATTAGTTTTAACAAAGCCTGGTTTTGAGCAAATTGGAAGAGACCAAAATTCTGGATTTTCTCTGCATCTCCCCACTGAAAGATTTTGAACATCTTAAAAACTCAACCTGTCACCTTCTATTTGGCCAAGCATGAAATTATTAGCAACGGTGCATACACAACTAGAGCCTCTCTGTTTGAATGTGTTAGCAAATGTTTCATTGGATGTGCAATGCTAGATGTACATGGAAGCATTCGTCATTTTTTTGTCATTGATATTGCCAGTCTGAATGGACAACATTAAAGCTAATCAAGAAACAGTTGTGAAGAAAATTCAAGAAGCAATTTGCTATGCTTTGGGACTCTGTGTTCTTATTTCCTTGAAGTTCAAATATGTTTGTTGATGAACTGGAGTGCTGCAAACCTTCACCCCTCACAATTGGTGATCATGCTTCATAAGAATGACAATAATATGGGATGGTTTTTTTGTTCTGTGAGCTGAATTACTATATTGTTACCTTGTCTAGCAGTGACCGAACAAGAAGGCAATAATGGTGCTCAAACATTAGTTTCATGTTGATTCCCATCCTTGCTGAAGAAGGAGAAACCAGAAGGTATGATGGTTCTCAAACATCAGCTTCTCTCCCCAAGAACTCTTTTTAACCTCCGCCCAATTTATTAAAAATACAAGGAAACTAGTGCAAGTTTTTATCAAAGTATGCTTGAGTCATGCAATTTGCCAGAAAACAGGGTGTTTTTTTTGTACTTTTGAACATTTGTCCTGTGCTATATAGCTTAGTTTTTAATCTTTAAGATTGTACATTTACTAGGTGCTTAACATGTCATTTGATTGTGAAAGAAGCTGGTTTATTCCATTTTCTTGTACTGGTTACTAGACCATACCTTTTCTTTGCGTTCCTTAGCTGTCATAACTGAATTCATACTGAAATGTAACATTACGATGGTATTTTCCAGAGTCTTAGAAAGCAGACCTCATGTTGTTGGACAAAGACACCACCCTTTGCTGTTGCATTTCTTACAAGATTGCCAGGGGGCGGAAGTTATTTTCCCTCACTAGACAGGTTTGAAGATGAAGTTAGTAATCAATGACGAGAATTTTGCACATCAGAGAGCGCTAGCTTTGATGGAGGCTTCGCCAATAGGTGGTTCTCCCCACATTTCCCAAACATAATTTTTTGCTCATCTCCTGCTCGGGCTGCAGAAAGAAAGGTAATAATTTAGCTTGTTCATCTTCAAGGCAGTTTTGATAGTTTTTATCTGCATTCTTGATATGTATTTCGTAAATCAATTACCAAAACTTTTTTTTTCCCTTTGGTGTAACATGCTGATTGCTGAACAAATTGAAAGAGACCAAAATTCTGTGTTTTCTCTACCTCTCTGAACTACTGAAAGATTGGAACATCTTAAATCTCTTTAACTTCAACTTGTTACCTTCTATTTGGCCAAGCACAAATTTATTAGCAATGGTTCACACCCAATTAGCCTCTTCGTTTGAATGTGGTACAAAATGTTTCATTTGATTTGCAATGCTAGATGTACATGGACACATTCTTCATTTTTCTGTCACTGATATTGCCAGTCTCAATGGATAACATTAAAGCTAGTTGAGAAATGATTTTCAAAGAAAATTCATGATACAATTTGCTGTTCTTTGGAACTCTGTGTACTTATTGCCATAAAATTAGATCAGTCTAATTGAACTTCAAATATGTATGTGGAGGAACTAGAGTGCTGTGAACATTCACCCCTTATAATTGACGCTGCATGCTTCATATCAATGACAATAATGTTTTTTTCTTTTCAATGACAATAATGTTGGATAATTGTTTATCATCTTTCACATGTTTGGAAAGTTTATAAGTCACAATTGCCTTGATTTTCTGTTCAGTGAGCTGGATTACTGTATTGTAACCTTGCAGATGAACAACGCAAGGAAAACATCAGCTTCATGTTGTTTCCCATTGCTGTTGAAGAAGAAGAGCTCAGGAGGTATGTCGTGCACAAAAGTGATAATGCAGCACTTCTCTCCCAAGAACTATAAGTTTGCATTCTGATATGCTTAAGTCATGTAATTGGCAAGAAAACAGGGTGTTTTTCTGCACTTTTATTTGTTGTTGAATGTTTACCCTGTGCCACATAACTTATCTTTTGCTCTTGAAGATTTTTATGTTTATTTGGTGCTTAACATGTGTTGTGATTGTGAAAGAATCTGGTTTTTAATTTTCTTGCACTAGTTACCTGTCAATACCTTTTTTTGCTTTCATAGTTTGTCATGATTGAATCTATTCTGAAATGTAATATTATGATGTTTATTCCAGAGTCTTAGGAGGCAGACCTCATGTTATTGGACAGAGGAGACCACCGTTTGCCGTTGCATTTCTGACTAGAATGCCAAGGGACAGAAGTTATTTTCATTAACCAAACAGGCTTTGAAGATGAAGGCAGTTATCAATGACGTTAATTTAGCTCATTAGATAGCATTAGCTTTGATGGATGTTTCACAAATAGTTGGTTCTCCCCAGGTTTCTCAAACATAAGTTTTTCGGTTTCTCCTGGTCAGATTGCAGAAAGGAAGGTAATGATTTAGCATGTATGTCTTCAGGGCAGTTTTAATAGTTTCTGATCTACTTTCTTGATATGTATTTAGTAAATCAATTACCAAAACTTTTTTCTTTTTGTTGATTTCTGAACTGAAAATGGCTAGTAGCAGGCTTGTAGAGTGTGATATGGATGAAGAAGAAAGAGGGGGGAGCATCATCCTAGCATGGAAGCTGATACTGGAGACCTGTATCATCCGAGGTGCGCAGCTGATTTTGGTCAGACTGGACCGATGGACTTCTTGGTAAAAGAGTTGGATGTTTGTGACAGTATAAACAATCAATTTGGAGCAGTGAGAGAAATGCAGATGCAAGAAGTCGAGAAATGCAGATGCAAGAAGTCTTGAATTGCACAAAGGTCCAAGGAAGAGGAGGGAAAACGTTCTTTTCAGTAGATGTGTGCATATTTTGTGAAGAATTAACACTCTTTAAAAGATGGCATTTCATAATTTTGGCATTTCATACTTTAAAAGATAGTACGTTTTCGTCATCTTTTACAGGGAGTAAAAGTATGTCTAGAGACCATATTTGTAAGATTTCCTACCCTTTTTTAGTTAGACATTTGATAGAGAGAACCTAGAACTCTTGTTACTTTTCCTCTTCAAGTAATCATTTTTTGGTATCTCTGCGAAATTGCTTAATCCAGTTGTTTGTTAATTAGCCACCCATGCTTTGGGTCATAAACAAATCATAACAGTAAAATCTAAATGATGATCTTATTGTTAAAGGCTTTTATATAAAAATAGATACTTAATACAAATGAAACAACATCTAACATTATTTGTACTAATTCTAGATTCGTGAGATGTGCATGGCCATCAAATATTTATATAACAAGGAATCAAGAAAGTTTTGGGCATGGAAGGAGCCAGCCAAGTACAAGGCAATTTGCCCAATTCATAGGAGTATATTTTGTGAAATTTTCATCAGTGTTGAGTAAATTAGTCATCCTCTTTCCAAATTTTTTAATTAAAATGCAATATCCAATATTAGGTCGTATTATAAATTTTCTCCTCTCTAATTCTCCTGCGCTGCCATTGAAGTTTTTAACAAAAATGTCATACAATTCTAACAACTAGAGCTGTCAACAATTGAACTTGGTACTGACTATTGACTTGGTAAAACTTACTAAAGCTGTTAAATTAAGTATTTGAACAAAAGCTTTTATTTTCGTCACTTTCTTTCAAGCAAAGTAGGGAGAGATGACCAATCCATACCATTCTTCTTCGATACAGGAGAACACGAGACATTAAGCTTAAAGTGAATTGTTTCGATTGTACTCTTTTGCTTTTGCTTGGTTAAAGAAGACAGCAGTGTGATAATTAGTTCATGTGTTTTAGACATTTTTTTTAAGCGAGGAATGAATTATCCCTCAGTTTATTTTTAAGTTGGACAGGATTTCAACTGAATCAACTACTACTAGAATATTTGGCCACCAAAGATAGGCTTAAAACTCTCCTTGGTTGTTGGTCAAGAGATCAAATTTCTTGATTTACATTCTTCTCCAAGATTTCTTGAAAAATTCATCAACCGATAGTTCAGTCCTCTCTGACTGCTCCATTGATCGTTTTGGGTCCATCCAATCGCCCTAATGTAAAGTAGGAATAGGTATAGAATAAGAATTGTCTTCTCCAGGATTTCTTGAAAATTTCATCAACCGATACATAAGCACCTGTCTAGTTCCGTGACAGTTCAGTCCCCTCTGGTGCTCCATTGATCGTTTTGAGTCCACCTCATCGCTCTAATGTGAAGTAGGAATAAGTATAGAATAAGAATTGTCCAGTCAACAAAAAAAAATGGACAAGTTTCAACTAAATACCAATGAGTTCATTAGGCTACAATATTTGCAAAAATAAATAAATAAATATTGTTTAATTTCATAAATATAACTTTTAACCATCTTTTTATCTTATGTATATCATACCATTAAAAGTGCTACAATGCTATAATTCCATTAGGCTACAATATTTGCAAAAAGATATTATTTAACTTCATAAATATAACTTTTAATCATTTTTTGATCTTACGTATATCATACTATTAAAAGTGACACAATGCTATAATTCGTTATTGATTCTTTGGACTACGAAATTCTTTTCTCATGTTTGCTCAGAAATGAGACATGAGACTTTAGTCTTCATTCTTCAGTTGAACTTAGACGTTTTAGACTTTCAGTGAAGCATTTCTTTCAGGTAAAATAAATTTCACTAAAGCATTTAAATAATTATAGAAAACTACTGTTCTCTTTAATTTGGATCATAAAATATTTAAAGGTCAATATGGGACATGAGACTTTAGTCATATGAACTTCAACGTTTTAGACTTTTAGTGAAGCATTTCTTTTAGGTAAAATAAATTTCACTAAAGCATTTAAATAATTATAGAAAACTATTGTTCACTTGAATTTGGATCATAAAATATTTAAAGGTCAATATGAGACATGAGCCTTTAGTCTTCATTCTTCAGTTGAACTTAGACGTTTTAGACTTTTAGTGAAGCATTTCTTTCAGGTAAAATAAATTTCACTAAAGCATTTAATTAATTATAGAAAACTATTGTTCTCTTGAATTTTTTTTTTTTAACCTTACCTAATCTAGTCCTCCTTCTAGTCCTACTCTACGAGGGGGCAGGAGTGGCCCAACTGAACCGAAAGAACCGACGAGGACTGAACCACCATCCAATCAGATGGGTGCACCATGCATTTGTATGAATGAGAAGAAATCACATATAGTTGCACATTGATGGAAGGTAAGATTTGAATTCTTGACCTTCCAACGTACAATTCATGTGGTGGCCAACTCCTCCAGAGAAAATTGATTATTGTTCTCTTGAATTTGGATCATAAAATATTTAAAGGTCAAATATATTGATTCCTATGTTGTTGAACCTCAAAGTGATTATCAAAGAACCTTTTTGCAATAATATCATACCAAAAGATTCATAATCCATGCTATATTGCATTTTGGAAATCATACCTTCCCAATCCTACCAAAATCACAATACTATAGTACATATAATCAGTTAATATCTAGTCTTCATGAAGTACATATAGTCTGTGTTCGACCCATTTCTTTGACAAAAATAAAAAAAAACAAAAATGTTACTAGTAAAAGAAATGACCATATGGTCAAAACAGTAATAATGCTAGATTCAAACGTATGAAATCCTTCGTGGACTAAATTGCAAATACCCATTTCCCTTGACAGACAAATACTTCCTTATTTACAAAGGATTCAATTCCGCAATTACTTAACTCAAGCTGAATTTGAGTAGCTTTATGAATTTTCAAATCAAACTCAAGAATAATAATGGTCTACTCAAAATCAATATTATAAAACCCAATCCAAATTGGCCGGTCTGCCTTCTTTTTGGTATTGTTTTGGTTAAAAAACCAATTAGTATCAATTTATAGTTAAACCAGTTTTTTTTTTTTTTTTTTGGCCAACTTCAACTGTTATATATGTAGTTAAACCAGTTGAACCATCCAGTTTTGTGAGAACCACCCGGTTCAATATCCAATCTTAATTAAGTCAACAATTTTGAATTTGGTCAACTAATCTCATTAATAACATTCCAAATTTAATAATTTACCAATTAACCATGCGTAATTATCTCCAATTAATTACACAATAACAATTATTGCCTTATTCTACTCATTTCTCTCTCTCCTCCATAATTACATATTAACTCTTATTTAACATTTATAACATAAATTGACTATATTAGTTTTTTAAAATCTTGAATACATTTCATTTATTTGTTAATGCCTTTTAAGTGTTTCAATTTTTATGAAATAAACTAGTACTCATATAATTTAGGAAAATTAAAAATACATGAAATAATACTATTTAAAATCCTTAACTAATAAAAGCAATATTTGAGTCTCAAACAAATAATGCTACTTAGAATAATAGAATGAGAATTGAAGTGATTACACTTAACAATATCACTTAAGATTCTACAAATATTTGTTTGACCCATTCATTTTTCTAGGTCAATTAACGTTCAAAACCTTTCTCAAAATCATTAAAGCTATGTTGAACTTTTTATAATATATAGGACCTCCTCTTGGAGACCGTATATAACTTGTACATCGTTACACTAACAATTGAGTCTGGATTGTGATGCTGGCAATTGTGGTCCATAATACAACCTTTATAAGAATGTTATACATACATACATAAATACATATATATATACATATATATACATACACACACCCCCACATCCATACACACATACATACATGCATATATATATGGATGTATGTACATATATATGTGTGTATATGTATGTATATATGTATGTATGTATATTTTGTTCTTTAGAAAAGGTATCATAGTTTTTTTCTTTTTTATTTTTGGGACTTTTATTAGGCTCTTTCTTTTTCTTTCTTTCAAGCAAAGTGGGGAGAGATGACTTACCCACAGCATTCTTCTTCGATATAGGAGAACAATAGACTTTTCTTTGAGTTGGACAGGGTTTCAACTCAACCAACTACTACTAGACTAGTTGGCCACCAGAGATAGAATTTAATTTCTCCTTGATTGTAGGTCAAGAGATCAAATTCTTTGATTGGTATTCTTCTCCAAGATTTCTCGAAATTTTCATCCATGGGTATAGAGGCACCCGTCTAGTCTGGTGGCAATTCAGTCCCCTTTGACTACCCCACTAATCATTTTGGATCCACGCTTTCGCCCTAAAATAAAGTAGAAATAGATATAGAATAGAAATTATCTGGTCAACAAAAAAAAAGGACAGGTTTCAACTAAAATCCAATGAGTCTGTTAGGCTACGATATTTGCGAAAAAAAATAAATATTGTTTAATTTCATATAGAATTTTTAACCATCTTTTTATCTTACATGTATCATACCATTAAAAGTGCTACAATGCTATAATTCTTTATTGATTATTTGGACTACGAAATTCTTTTCTCATGTTTGCTGAGAGAAATGAGACATGAGACTTTAGTCTTCATTCTTCTGTTGAACTTATACGTTTTAGGCTTTTAGTGAAGCACTTCTTTCAGGTAAAATAAATTTCACTAAAGCATTTAAATAATTATAGAAAACTATTGTTCTCTTGAATTTGGATCATAAAATATTTAAAGGTCAGACATATTGATTCCTATGTTGTTGAACCTCAAAGTAATTATCAAAGAAACTTTCGCAACAATATCCTACCAAGAGATTCATCATCCAGGCTATATTGCATTTTGAAAATCATACCTTTCCAAGCCTACAAAAATCACAATATTACATATAATCAGTTAACTTCTAGTTTTCGTGAAGTATGTATAGTCCGTGTTCGACCCATTTCTTTGACAAAGAAAACAAAAATTATACTAGTAAAAGAAATGACCATATGAAAGAAACAGCAATAACACTAGATTCAAACGTATGAAATCCTTCGTGGACTGAAATTGCAAATACCCTTTTCCCTTGATGACCAAGACCGACTTATTTACAACGGATTCAATTCCGCAGTTGCTTAACTCGAGCTGAATTCGAGTAGCTTTATGAATTTTCAAATGAAACTCAAGAATAATAATAGTCTACTCAAAATCAATAAAATTGTGTTGAACTTGTTATATAGGATTAATTCCATTTTATCTCTTTAAACTATACAC